ACACACCCTTAACCCTCTTGATATAAACCTTAATATGAAAAAAAAAAATGTAGGCTATAACGAGCTAAACAGACAAAACAATATTAATGGTAAAAAACTGTGAACATTGAAACAAAAATTCCCTGATATGTTTCGATTCTAGCGTCTCGGTGTTGTAGAGAAACAAAACGTAGCATATGTGTGACTGCATATAAGAAAGAGGGGAAAGCAGAAAGAAGAAAAGGAGGGAGAAAGGAAATAGGAAAAGAAAAAAAAGGAAGAAAGGAAGGAAGGTAGGAAAAGAGGAAGGGCGAAAGGAAATAAGAAAGAAAGAAAGAAAGAAAAAAAAAGAAGGAAAGGAAAGAAGGACAGAGAGAAAGAAAGTAGGAAAGAAATTAAAATGGAAAGAAAGTACTTCGGGCTAAAGGTTCTGCTTCCCACCTCCTGCTTTCTAAAACACACACATACACACACACACACACATATATATAGTTATGTGTATGTGCATCATCATCATATTTAGTGACATGGTCGATGCAACCCTCGACGACATATGTTGGACTGATGATTCAGCATTCGACTTCCCTCGGCATCCCAGATTTCCCTTGTTGTTTTGATGTTGTTTATTCACAGTTGCAGGATGACGATCTACGTTGTCCCATGACTAGGTACCCCGGCTTGGTCCACTGTGGGCACCCTTAACGTCGTTTGTTGAAGATTGCTTTTCGTTCACACTATCCATAACACAGTAACATGGCCGATTTAATGAAGAAGGGTGGCCGGTTCGTTTCTTCATAACAGCAATTACCAGCTTTGGTCAATATCGCTAGCCTTGAAGATTTTTTTTCCCCAGCCTGCCGAAAATCCTTCCCCAAATCGTTGACCGTCACTGCACGATCCCTCCGCTCTGAGTAGGTTGAGTGACAATGTCGGTCTCTCAAAGTCATACCCGGGTGGCCAAAGCCTTCAGCAAGGTCTTGGTTTTAATTAATGGGGCCCAGGTGCGCCCTCCTCACCTACGAGGCGTAGACGCCGACGACTCGTCCAGGTTACAGGTTCTACAATCTTACGTGGTTAGTGGCAGCAGAATTTCTTCTGACCTGACTGTAGTGTATGTGCATATATATATGTATATATACATATATACATACATATATGCATATACATACATATATACATATACATACATATATACATATACATACATATATACATATACATACATATATACATACATATATACATATACATATATGTATATGTATATGTATATATATATATATATATATATATATATATATATATATATATACATATATATACATACATATACATATATATACATATATATACATATACAAATACACATATATAAATATACATATAAACATATATATACATATATATACGCATACATATATGTATATAGAGGAAAGTATTATGGCAAGTGAAATCATTATGGCAAGTGACTCCGCTGCATCCGTTTAAAAGGTCACCTTGGCTTCCCTTACAAGTGGATCTTGCTCTAAGCTCATCGGGAGGCGGCGCATGTCGTGAAGGCTGGGGAACTCCTGCCATTACAATAATTACTAATTTTTCATTCTATGCCAGTACCCGTCATTAACTGCTGTAGGCACTAAATTCAACAGAAAATTACTCTGTAAGGAATGACTTATAAAACAAGTTCAGAATTTTGTTACATATATAATATTACCATGATCGCATTCGTAACATTTGCAAGCACACACACACAAGGTTAAGATAAAATATATAATCACAAACCGGTCTCCCCCCCACTAAGCTTCAGAAAGTTTCAGGATGAAGCATGAAAACCTTTAGATAAGGACTGTCGTAGCCATACTCATGACCAATTCAGTGACTGTCACTCCTTAAAGACTACAATCAATATTTGTTATTTACCTTCTCCAGAGTCGTCTGTGATACGCGTATGGTTTTCCGCGGTGAATACTAATCTGGCAAGGGAAGACTTTCCGATCAGGACATAAAAAAATAGGGAGGAAGATGACGGTAAGGTAATGAAGTCTTTCTAGCATTTAACTACAAGATCTTCAGAACTTTTCTTTCGATTCGTGCTGGCGGTAAGAACATTGAAATCAATTTTAAAAGTCTTATTAGTGAAGCACATAATTCTGGGCTGCCGAACTATGATATCAACCGACGATTTTTTTTCTAGGGAAGGCATCAAAAAGTGACCAAAAACGGTCTCGAGAAAGTCGGGATGTGATCTCCTCAATGTAAGCCTTCATCGATTTATGACTAATGAACAGGACTAATGTGATAAGGTGTTAGGGTTGGAAAACAGTTTGTTCATGTCATATGTTCTAATTTACGGATTTTAATTCCTGATTTTCTATGTTGTTGTTCTTATTTATAGTTGCATTGTAATGCCAACAGGTACTTAGTTGTTTGAAAAGCAATAAGAAGAATCAACCAAACGAGGCATATAGCTTTTCAAATATATTTATTTATGGTTACATTAAAATAGTTAAATATATATTTA